GGTTCTCGATGGCAGCAAGTGCAGAGGGACCAAGGCTAGGATTGGGCTCTGAAAGTACGACCTCGTCGGAAACAAAAATGGACGGTCGCATCGCATTCAAGTCGGCAGGATTGACAAGGAGCGGTTGGGGAAACTCATGGAAATCACGGGTGGAGGGGTGGAGGCTGCGAGTCTGCTATTACACGAATCTGGACAAACAGGGCTCACTACACTAGTAACGCTGACCGATGAGAGTTCAGTCCTAAAAAAAACGCTGAAATTTCAGGCCTGTGTCTTAAAAAAAATCCTGTCTCATCAGGGTCACCCCCCAAAAAAGCCCTGATTTTACCCTGAATCAAAGTAAAAAGCCTGCAATCTGAGGCCCTGGTCCAAATGCTGCTTGAAGCTTGGGAACATCACGCAATGCTGAGAGCTGAAACAAATGAGCTCCCTTCTAGGGCTGATGTTTCAAAAGAAAGCACTCTGAGCTAACCCCCCCCCCAAAAAAAAAAAAAAAAAAAAAAAAAGTACGAAAGGTCTTTAGCCAGAATTTAGGGACTCCGAAATGTCAGAGTCCGGAGATGGGCAAGTCTGAAATCCTCAGGATCGCGCAAGTACATTCAGGGTTACAAATTATATGTTATTAAGAAGACTTCTTGTATCTTACATTTTCCTATACTGGACAGAAGCCTACAACAACTATCGTACTACTACTACCAGTCTACCACTAAGCAATCACTAACTAACAAGCTCCTAGAACTCTGGCGCATCTACTGTAATCTCATCATCACCCCCCTCATTGTCTGACAGGAAAGGGTCGTTGTCTATTCTTGGGGCCGCATCATCCTCATCATCACCCCCATCCTCCTCAGCCCGCCCCTCCCCCATGTACTCTGGCACTTCACCCTGTCCATCACCCGTTGTGTCTCCCGCCACCTCACCCTCCAGGGCCTTTCCCTTGCGCTTACGTTCCGCAGATGCGAAGACAACAGATCGTGCTGGGCGTCTCAGCTTCTCTCGCCAGGTCGCCAGGGCTTCGGTCCAATTGATGTCGTACGGCAACAGCGAGATGGCCATCAACTCAGAGAGGCGCGCATTGCAGAGTGAGCCACGGACCCAGGACTTAATCACGTTCTGTCGAGAGAAGCCCCTCTCGCATTCGACTGTTGACAGAGGCAGCACGGCGCAGGCCTGCCACAGGCACATCAGATTGGACCAGCGCCTAACACGAGGCACAAAAACAAAGGCGGAGGAAAGGCAGTAGGAAATGCATAGAGTGAAGGCGGATAACCAAGGGGGTTTCAAGGCAGTCGGCAAGGGCGGCAATGTTGTGCACACTTGGCAAGTAGAATGGGAGGTGGTGATTCAGAAACAACAATACCGTTGGACTTGCCTGCTCGAGTCCGTCTTCGTGAGGTAGTTTGCCAGGCCTTGGTGGAAGCTCTCCACCTCGTAATGATTTTTGCATGATCGGCGCCCACGTTGCGAGCTCCGTCTCCGCTGCCTTCATGTCGAAGCCGGGCAGCTTGTGCTCGAAGATGCCGCTGCATCCGAGTAGATACTCTTTCGTCTTTTTCTCGCGCAGCGCCCGTTGTCTCGGCCACTTCGCTGCCACCCACAGCTTCGTCGGCGACATCTTGCGCAGATCCCGCATCCGCTCTCGTACGTTGATCATGGTATCCTTGGCGTGCTTCTGGCACAGCAGCACGCAGTCCTTGTAGCTGCTCCCGTACTGGTGTTTGTCGAGGTGCCGCTCGTGCATCTTGTACATGTGGGTGACGGGGTTCCCCTCCAAGTCGATACCGCGCACCTTCACCCGCTTCGACCCGCTGCGCCCGCACACCGTGAGGAACGCCGAGAGCCAGGTGTTTTCGGCGCCGACACCGAAAACCTCACCGCACTCGACATAGCGGTGCTGCAGATCCCCCAGTGTCTCGTCGATGTCCGTTGCCACCTCTGTGACATTGACCTGCGGTGTGGGGGGGAGGACACAGAGGAGAGGGAAAGACATGAGTAGTTGCACCAGAGGAGAACACCACGCTTGCAGACAGTATCTCACTTGTCAACTTCTAGCAGGGCTAGGAATTCGACGACGACTCGACGCAACCGCATGAATGTGATGTAGTTGATCAGGTGCTTTCCCGTGTGCGGTCGGTGCTCTCGTCGCATGAGATGCTGAGGTAAGGTGAGCTCTTGATGTGCTCTATTTGAGTAGCCAGCAGATGAGTTGACAGACAGTTCACCATCTGCTGGAACCCGTACCTGCAGTGGCATAATCAGAAGTGAAACAGTCGTTAATTAGCATTGCAAATGCATTGAAATTTATATGGCTGATACCAAAATCCAACCATCGACCGGTGAAAACAAGGTAGCCTTACTTGGTGAGATACACACCGTACGATTGGAGAGGTATGTCTGGTGTGTCTTGCTCTGCCATGAAACGAAGCAGCCTGGGAAACATGGCGATAGGAGCATCGTTCTTGCAAAGAAACTCCACGCACTGCAAAAGACGGATGACGCGGCGGCCTTCGACATCGACGGTGGCGAAGCTTGTCATTCTCTACTGCTTGTCTTCAATTTCCTTCTGAATCTCGAGCTGCCGGCGAACCGCCTCTTCGTGAACTGTCGAGTGTTCATGGATGCACATCGTCTATGTCTGGAGATCTCGCCCGCCATTGCCTGGCCTTGAATACTTCGTCGTTTCTTTGCCGAAGGCTCGGCAAACGCTGCACTTAAGGGTGGGGTAGCCTTCCTTAGTACGGGTAAGTACAAGCTAGGGGAAATAACGCAGCCAATCATTCTTGTACTTAGCCTCAGCGACTAGGTAATTCTGCTCAATCAACTCCTTTGTACTTAGCTTCGGTGGCGGCGGTTCATCAGGGCGGGTGACAGGGGGAGGTGAGCGCGGTGGTGAGGGAGGGCGAACCTGGCCACCAAGGTTGATACGCTGCTGCGTATACTTCGTCGTGCGTTGTTTTTTCGCCAAAGAGACAGTAGATGCGCATGGCACACTATAACGAACGGTAGAGGCGGTGGCGCACTGAATAGGATCCACTGGCCCTCTGCTGGAAGATGCTATGGCTGGTGGGAGAATGAAGGGAGCGGGGGCAGGTCTACTAGGCAACGATGGCTCGTCGCACGGTGTCTCGTCAACAGCGGTTGTGGCGACAAAAGGCGGAGGAGCCGATGCGGCAACGGGCTGCAAGATGTCTAGGGTGCTCCTTGGCGCTACGGCAGGATCCTTACTGCTGCGCAGCTCATCACCGTCAGCAGGAGCATCATCGGCGCCATCCTTTTCAGGCATGGCGAGAGGAGAAACGACAAGTAGAAACTAAAGAATGCGACTACAACTACGCTTGTGTCTCAGACAAATGAACAAATGGAACGATTTCCCCTGTAAAACTTGAAGCAGTGTGTTCAAAGCTGATGGGTAAGGAACGATTGGAGAAGAAGGGGTCCATCAAACCCGTGTCGCACCTTTCTTGAAAGGTCTGCAAGGCTGGCACAGAGGGTACGGGCCCGAGGTTCGCGCATGCACAGAGAGCAACAGAGCAGAATATGCGGTCCTTATTGGCTCAGTATGGCAGCATTTCTGCCGCGCTGGATAGCAAAGTGCCCACTGTGGGCAGAGTATACATTGGACTTGGCGGAATTTTATGCGAAGTGTGGATTCTGCACGTGACGTGGGCGGGAAGCACTGATGGCAGGCGAAATTTATGGGGATCTTGCGCGCCCCATGGAAATCTGTTTCAGGGTTCGTACCCGATGTACTCTGAAAACTCAGTACTAGGTTAGCGTGAACTCTGATTTTTTCAGGATCCCCAAAGTCTTTGTCTGAATCAATCAGGATTGAGAAAATGCCTTATCTGGAAATTCAGGTTTGGCAAAAAAACAGGTCTGAGATTTCAGACTAATCAGATTAAAAAGTCTGATAAAATCAGCCCCGCCCTGATGAAGGTCCCCCATCCATGACAAACCAAAAATGACTGTCCACATTGTTGGAAATATCTCAAGGACTTAAGCGTTTCTGAAGTGTAACACTGTACTCGAGGAAGATTACAGGGGAGCACGCGAGTCAACGGAGGTTACACGAGGGGGCGGACAAAGAATGCGAAAGGACTCGAAAGGTCGCAACTGGAGGTTGCGACTGACCGTTACAACATCACGGATGGTAACCGAAGCGGCAATCGAGTCGCTGTGCGACTCGATAAACCGTTCCTGTAACTGTATTCTACAACTGCTTTCTTATCTTCTATATATTGCTGTATGCTTGTTTCTTTAATCAATCACTTGTTCTCACATACTAGTACAAGGGTTCAACTGCCTCAACTTCCGCTGCACTACTCCAAGTCTCAAACAGCTGGGACTTAGTCTCTGCAAAAGATCCTAAGGGCTTTTCTCAGCCCAACATGGTATGAGAGCTGGTCAGAGACCAAACTCCCAGCAACTACGCTCCATCAACAAACTGCAACTCAACTCAATTCAACGACTTCATTGATTACAAGACATGGACAGCAAGGGCAAGAAAGTCTCTACGGGCTCACCCAGCGGCCAAGAAACTCAACACGGCAACTCTGGTCTGCACACCTCAGGATTGCAGACAGAGACCGGGACTGCTCAAGAAACAACAGGAAGAGTACCAGAGATGGTGACTCCGTCTCCCTCTTCAAGTGTGGACCCGAATCTCATGGAGAGATTCTTTCAGCTTCATGTCACACTTCGACCAGCAACAGCAGACAAGGACACCTGCGCATTCAACACAGAGCAATGGAGGAAACATGGGATTAGCGCCGATGAGCCTCGACAACTCATCCTTCGGGCGACACAACCAAGCACCTACCTTTGCGCCTTATCATTCTTCACCGGGGACGTTCGAGTTCATGCCGCCCCGCGCCCAACCAACAGCAGCTGCATCACAACAAACACCAAACGAGATTCTCGGTCTTCAGGCTCAATTCTCACACGTCATCAAGTTACAAACATCCTCACCGTTCAACGGACACGACTTCTTTACCTGGAGCTTCGAGTTCGAGCTGCTGATGGAGGCCGCGCATCTTCTGGGATACTTCAACGGGTCCCTGCCATTCCCAAGCAACGGCACTGGAAAAGAACAAGAGATCTTCACGTATCAGTCGCTACTGGCGTATACAGTCCTCCTGCGGAACCTGTCACCACAAGAGCAGCAGAGCATCAGAACATATCGGAGCTATGGAAACTCCGCGGAGCTCGCATGGCACCACCTCAAGTGCCTTTACCAAGCAAACGACAGCGTGACACAAAGCAGACTCATGCAACAGCTGACAACAATACAGATGAAGACCGGGGAAAAAGCGATGCAGTATATGAGTCGCTGCCAGACCCTCCGCGACCGCCTGCTTCGGTGCGGAGGAACGATCACTGAAGAAAGCTTCGTGACACTTGTCCTCGCCGGGCTCGGGCCAGAATGGAGAACCACACGATCACTTCTTCGAGGCCCACGGAAGAATTTCGGAGATGCACCTCTGCGCCGAGCTTCACGCTGAACAACAGGAGATGGATCTGTTCGAGGAAAGACAACCAAGGAAGCAACAGCAGTTAGTCTTCTACACTCAAAGAAGAAATGACAACAACTACAACCGACGCAGCAAGCAAGATCAACGCGACAACCGAGGACTCACCATCGTACCGCCGTTCTGCCACAACTGCCAGACTTCCGGGCACTCCAAAGTCAACTGCAACCGCCCTCGCGTTTACCGTGCAGCAGACCCACAAGTCACTTCCACTCAAGCAAGTCCTCCAAGGCGCTCTTCAACATCTGCACAACAAACACCCAACATCATCAACTGCATGGTACACATCGACAACTGCGCACCCGGTTCACCACCCACTTACGCACCAGACGAAGAGGAATTCCCGCCGCCGCGCTCGCAAGGACTTCAGGTCAACCCGACATACGCTGCAGTCGCTAACGCCGAACCCACCGGGCGGAACACCTGGTTCTTGGACAGTTGCTGCGGTCAGCACATGTGCTCCTCCGGACGCTTCGTACAACACGAGCGACGCTCAACCACGACGTCGTCATCACCGTCGCCAACAACGAAAACCTGAAAACAAACAGACAAGGGCGTGGTTCAGTTACAATCAATGGAGACAAACGTTATTCTTCAGCTCAACAAAGTCCTCATCGTCGACAATCTGGGATACAACCTACTAAGCGTAAGCCAACTAATGGCTAAGGGGATTCACCTGGAGTGCGACTCCTTCTCCAACGAGTTCCGACTTTACCACGGGAAGGGCGGCCTCTTCATCGGTCGTGCCCTCCTGAAGTCCGGTGTCTTCGTGTTGGACTTCGTCCCCGACCGCGGAACTGCCGACAGCGATGGCATCGTATCGTTCGCCGCCTGGACTCACCCGCCGATCTTGATCCCGACTTCGACAGTGACGGCTTCTGGCACTCCAACACCATACCTGCAGCAGAGAGAACACGAGCATTAGCAGTTATCAGACAAGAAAGACAAGTACCCGCAAGTGTCCCAACAAAACCATCACCTGCAGTATCGGCAGCAGGACCCAGCCGAGTACCACCACCATCAACACGAGGACCGCCAACGAAGCAGACCAACTTATGCCCGCCACACGAGAAGCTTGTCGAAGTCCCGCCTCGGTCGTCGCGTTCTTCTCCAACGCCGACATCTACCACCGCTCGCCCGGTCACCGCGCTCCCGACGACATCTGGCACCAACGTCTCGGACATCCTGCAAACAGCACGATACTTCAAACAATCCAAGCAGAGGTGTTAGAACGCAACGCCCTTCTGACGACGAGCGGCCAGAACTTCGACGACCACGCGCACGGTGCTTCACATGCCCCGAAGCAGATCTTCCTCATCAACCTTTCCCAGCCCATCACAATCCAAGCGCACCCACTTACGCTCCGATGGAAAAGGTCTACAGCGATATTCTAAACATGCCTCGAGACGACACCGAAGCCGACTTCAACTACGTCATCACGTTCATCGACGCCGCAACCAGATACGTCTGGCACTTCAATCTCAAAACGCGCGATCAAGCCTTCGAGGCCTTCACCACATGGCTTCCAATCGCCGAACGAGAGTCAGGAACCAAACTCAAGAGTTTCCAGTCAGACGGTGCACTGGAATACCAGTCACAACGCTTCAGGACCTATCTCGCGGAAAGGGGAATCCGACGCCTGGTGTCTCTGCCCTATGCTCACCAGCAGCAGGGGGTAGCAGAACGCATGAACCGGACCTTGCAGACGACGATGCGAAAACTGCTTCTGGGGATGAGGCTGCCCAACACACTGTGGCCAGACGCGATGACACATGCAGTCCACCTGCACAACCTGTTGTCCTCGTCATCGCTCCCAACAACGCATCACCGCACCTGCTGTGGACGGGAAAAAGGGGCAGCACAAAATTACTTCGAGTTTTCGGCTGCATGGTACAATACAGACCCCACACAGCTCGAGCAGGACGCTTCACTCAACGAGCTCGGTGGGGACTACACCTCGGCATCGCCAAACATTTTCACGCGTGGAAATTCTCGACATACAAGACAAAAATACGGTGGCATCACGTGATGTTATCTTCTACGAGCGACTGACGCTGCAGCATTACCTGGACAACATTGCCAACACAGACCCCACCGACGGCTTCGCGGGCCTTCGCTCCTTCGCTGACCATGCTGCCGAGGCTGACGCAGCAGAAGAAGACGTACCTGGAGCCTCGGAAGCTGCCGGACCACTCCCTTCTGTTCCGTACCTGTTCCACTCGATGAAGATAATCCCCTCGATAGCAACAACCTCGACACCTTTTACCACTTCGCTGACCAAGGTTACGCTACACACCCCGTCGACACGAATATTTCGAACGCATCGGCCCAACTTCTTACCCGAAGACGGTGACGAAGCAGCTTATTCCGGGAATGAAAATTCCCCTCGACACACACCACGGGACTGCAGATTCTAGGCCTCTGGGTCTCCGTCCAGCACCGCCGCCGCCTTCTCCGCGCGAGCCTCGACCTGTCGCAGGCTCTGGGGGGGGAACATAAGGCAAATGGAAGGAAGCGATGGAAAAAGTTAAAAGCTCTGCAAGACCGAGAAACATGGAAACTGGTACCTGCAACGAGCATCAACGGGAAGAACGTTCTCTCGGGGAAATGGGTGTACCGCATTAAGACCAACGCGGACGGCTCCATCGAACGTTTTAAAGCGCGATGGGTCGTACGAGGCTTCGACCAACGATACGGAACCGACTACACAGAAACCTTCGCCCCAGTCTCCCGTCACAACCTCCCTGCGCATCCTACTCGCCGTCGCGGCCACGAAGAAACTACCACTACGGCAAATCGACGTCGCAAACGCCTTCTTGTACGCACCTGTGGACGCCGAAATCTTCGTCGAACAACCCCACGGATTCATCGACGACCCTTCAAAAGTATGCCAGCTGGAAAAATCCCTTTACGGGATCAAGCAAGCCCCACGGCTCTGGCAGCAGCACCTTCACGGCCGGCTCGTAAAAATCGGATTCCTACAGTTACCACATGACCAAGGCATGTACCGACTGCAGAAGGGAAGAGATTACATTCTGCTCATAGTCTACGTCGACGACCTGCTCTACATCGGCTCCACTATCGACATCGCCACCTGGTTCGAAGGGGAGCTGAAAGAAGATTTAACTCTCACGGTGTCCGACGAAGTTACCCAGTACCTAGGACTGAACATCGTGGAAGACGACACGGCGTTCTACCTACACGCTGGAAAGTACTCAAGCACCGTCGCGAAGAAATTCGGTCTAGCACCGACTGCGGTCCCAACTCCCTACCGCTATGGGAACAACAGTAGCGCCTCCACAAAACTCCCCGCGAAACAAATCCAGGAGTATCAACAGAAGCTCGGCTGCCTACTATTCGCAGCAGTAACCTGCCGACCCGACCTATCCTATAGTGCGAGTCAGCTGGCGACACATCTGAAGCAGCCGCAAGAGGAAGATCTCGAAGAACTCAATCGAGCGCTACTCTACTTCGTCTCCACGCCGACGATCGGGCTCACCTACAGCAAGGCAACAACACCGTCCGTACAACTACTCGGATACGTCGACGGCCGACCACGCGGGAGACAGCGAAAATCGACGGTCTAGGACGGGCTACATCTACCGACTAGAACCTATCGGAACTATCTCCTGGCAGTCGAGCAAGCAGGAGTTAATCGCACTATCCTCGGCTGAAGCAGAGTATATCGCCCTTTGTACTGCGACCAAGGAAGGACTCTACCTACGAGAGTTACTCGAAGAAGCGAAGATCGCGACCCTGCCCGCCTTCTCACTCCTCTGCGACAACCAATCTGCGATCAAAATCGCGAACAAGGACGGCTTCGCCAACCGAACCAAGCACATCGCCCTGCGGTACTTCTTCGTCAAGGATGAAATCGCGAAGGGGAGACTTCAACTCAGTTACTGCCCGACGACAGAAATGGCCGCAGATTATCTGACGAAGAAATTGGCGAAAGCAAAATTCGACTACTGCATGCTCCTAACCGGGCAAACAAACGTCACCGGATCTGAACACTCCAGCACTCCAGAAACGAAGGGGAGTGTTGGAAATATCTCAAGGACTTAAGCGTTTCTGAAGTGTAACACTGTACTCGAGGAAGATTACAGGGGAGCACGCGAGTCAACGGAGGTTACACGAGGGGGCGGACAAAGAATGCGAAAGGACTCGAAAGGTCGCAACTGGAGGTTGCGACTGACCGTTACAACATCACGGATGGTAACCGAAGCGGCAATCGAGTCGCTGTGCGACTCGATAAACCGTTCCTGTAACTGTATTCTACAACTGCTTTCTTATCTTCTATATATTGCTGTATGCTTGTTTCTTTAATCAATCACTTGTTCTCACATACTAGTACAAGGGTTCAACTGCCTCAACTTCCGCTGCACTACTCCAAGTCTCAAACAGCTGGGACTTAGTCTCTGCAAAAGATCCTAAGGGCTTTTCTCAGCCCAACACACATTAGTAACATATCCACCACAGGGAACATATGCACAGCACACAACAAAAAGCTCATATAAACGATAATTTGTATTGCACATAAAAAGACGAAGGTAAAACCTAAAACACGCAAAACTAGGCTTTCTTGAAGTCAGGAACAGGGGGCTCATTTGCACCTGGCGCTAGATCATTTTTCTTAAATCTCTCTTCATCAAAGAAGCACGCCCGTACTGTTCTCCCGCCAAAGAATCTTCCGTCAGGTCGACAAGTGCCTTCGTAGCAGACTCCGTTCGATCAAACGTGATGAAGATGCGAACGGCTTCCACTGGTCGACAGGAAGGGTCTGTGATCTCAAATATAAGCACACGCGTTACAGTCCCATACTTGAGACACTCACCCGCCACCTCCTCTTCCAACTCCTCATCCACCTCTCCTGGACCAACCTGAAAGGACAAAAATAAGAGCCAGCATATCAGCAGAGTGTCTAAAATGACGCCACTTTTCCCTCATGCATTCCTTGTCAAAATAGAAAGGAGCAGCAAACGTACCATGTTCCGTAGTAGGACCACCTTAGAAGGAGGCCCATTCAGTGCCACACCACCCAGCTTCGCCCTCTTCCCGCCAGCACCAGCTGCATTATTCTCCCCTCCCTCCCCTCCACCACCTTTCTTCAGTGGGCTTGCAGCGACAATCACTCCTCCATGTTTGTCAGTCTTCTTTGCCATGAGCGGCGTGGTGATGCCCTGCTCCTGCTTGCCCAGCCCCTGCCCTGCCTTCCACCCCATCTTCATCATCATCCGCTCAGCTGCTGTCAACCCGTCGCCTGATGTCTTGGGCATGGCAAACCCCTCGGACCTGCCCAGTGCAACAGAAGAACCGAGTTTGAGTGAAATCAAGAGAGGCTAGAGCTGAAGACTAATACCATGGAATCTCATGCTAGAGCCTGAGCAAATGAAGCAACCAACTGGTTGACGCACAGCAATCAGCCATGCAAAGGATATAAAGCCACGCCTAACCTAACTCGTAACAAAGTTCCAGACGTCTCACTTGGGAGGAGATGGCGATCTCTCCGCCGCTCGTGGGCTTGCCGACGCTCCTCCCGCTGCTGCTCCTAATCCGCCACCCCCTCCTCCCCCGCCTCCGCCACTGAGCAGGGCTCTGCGGCGCCAGGCCTCCTCCCCACTGACGCGCAGCTGAGAGCGCTCAGAGGCAGCAGATGCTGCGGCAGACGCTGATGCGGCTCCCTCCTGCTCTGACGCCTTGGCTGCAGCCGCACGCTGCAGGGGTGGAAGTTAGTGGGGAATGTGGGGGTTTGGGGGGAAAGCCAATCTTTTAATGATCTACAGAAAATTGACCAAGCTTTATATTTGGAAAGGAGAGGACGATGATTGGGCTGTGCGGCACCAAGCCTTTTCCCCACTGACGCGCAGCTAAGAGCTCTCAGAGCCAGCAGGGCCAGCGGTTGATGCTGATACGGCTCCCTCCTGCCCTGACGCCTTGGCTGCTGCCGCACGCTGCAGGCACTGATGTTCGGGACAGGAAGAGATGAGGGAGATGAAGAGGAAACGAAGAGGGTTTCTACCTCAAAACGTCCTGTGTGGGTGGCTGAGGGTTTCTTGGTTTGTTGGTTGCAAGGGTCTGCTTCGTTTGTTTATCTGTTTGACTTGACTTATCTGTACGCTCCCTCTCAGCTTGACTTGAACCCACCTGGACTCATATGCTCTAAAGCTCCAAAGGGACCCACCCATCTCAAGTTCAGCCTTGACTGAAGAGACGCCTACTGAATTCCAAAGGGGCACTCACCTCACGTTCAGCCTTGATTGCTAGCTCAAGGTCCCGCTGTCTCTGCAGCACCGCCTCCCGCTCCTTCTCCCTCTCCTCCTCCTCCCTCCTCCTCCTCTCCATCTCGCGCCTCCGCTCCTCCTCTACGGCCTTCCTCTTCCTCTCCCTTAGAATTTTCTCATAGTCGTTAGGCCTAGCCGGGTCATATTCGTCCACTACTGCAGCAGCTGCTGCAACCAGTGCCGCTCCGCCACCTGGAGGCATGGCAGGGGGAACAGGCGCAGGTGCAGGCGGGGGCGCAAGGGCTGGGGCGGGGGCGGGATACGGGGGAAAGGGGGGTGCGGAGCCATAGGGGGGGACAGGGGGAGGAAAGGCTGCGGCTGCGCTTTCGTAGGGCGGCGGAGGAGCCTGATATCCTGGATGAGCGGCGAAGCGTGGATCAGGCGGGTAAGTGGGGGCGTGAGGGGGAGGAGCTTGTGCGGAGTAGGCGGAAGGAAAGGGGGGAGTTGCTTCGCCGGGAGCTGCGGTCGCAGCTGCTATGGGGATTGGCTGCGCTTCCGCCATCCCCGCGCCAGAACCCAGTCCCGATGCTGCTGCCGCTGCCGCTGCTGCTGCGGCAGCCGCCGCAACCATTGCGGAGGTATCCGTCCGGAGCCTGCTGCGCCGGGCGGAGCTGCGCCGCTCACTGGCGGAGGAGGCGGAGCTGGCAAACGCGCGGATTTCGCAGCAAGGGAAGCAGCGCTGGAACCGGAGAGGGATTGACTGCGGAGGACGGATGTTGGCGGAGCGAAGAGGGTCGCGGCGGAGGGCTTGCGCAACGTAGGGGGAGTCATTTTGGCGGACCATAGCTTCGGACGACCTGCGGAAGATGAGGAAGCGGAAGCCGCGGAAGGCTGTGCGTCCGATGCGTCCTTATCCGCATCGGAAGGCGGGGGTAAGTCTCCGAACAGCCCGCCCATGGTGAGAAATAGCTAACGGGAAAGAGGATGGTGATCAATCTAGAGTCTAAATACTGTCTCGCCGTCTGCCAAACGAGGTCACTGAAATTGCGGCGAATTATGCGACTGTCTGCTCGGAGCTGACTGAGGGCGTGTCCCCAAAAATTGTTACCCCGTTTTTAACACTGACGGTACGCAATGTGAATCGATTTTGAAACAGATCCTGATTTGGGAACAGGTCCGAAATGAGGGGTGCAGTTCAAAAGGACAGCACCGGAGACCAGCACAGACATAGGAGCGGGTAACGGGGTCCCGCCATGCGAAATCTGCGCGAAGCGCATGTAACAAAATGAGGGCCAATCGGCGCAGCGGGGATAGGTTCTTCGCTAGCGACGTGCGGGGCTGCAAAGTGTCGCTAGAGAATTTTGCTAGAGGTGGTGCTGGTACTGGTTGGCAACTGGATTTTTGTGTCCTCTTTTTTGTCGTGCGGAGGTACCTGGAAATCAGGATCTGTTTCAAAATCCGGATTTGGGAACAGGTCCGAAATGAGAGGTGCTGTTCAAAGAACAGTGCTGGCACGCTAATTTTGGGTGTGAGCTGGGCGTGTCCTGTTATGAATTTAGAAGATGTCAATGAACTATAACGCGAGAATTCAAGTCGCTATTGCAATGAAAGCACGAGGTTATATAGGAGTAGACGTAATAGGGCGATAACCTCGGGACGTGGATAGGTTCGGCAATGTGGCGACGCTGTCGGACGCGACTCGAGAAACGTTTGGGTCGAAAATGTAGGCCGAACGTGACGAGTCGAAGTGTTCGGGTGTACGCAGTAGCGGGCGACTCAGTAAGGAATGGAAATTCCTTACACTACCCCCCCCCCCCCCCCCTCCTAAACGAGTCCATGGGCATCGGAGACGTTACGACGCTGATAATACGCCGTTAGAATCGGATGTGATTCTAGGTCAGCGAGAGACACCCAGCTGTCGTCTTCAGATATGCGATCGCGCCAGCGGACGAGGAAATCAACCATCCGACAGTTCAGCTGCGTTGTGACGTGATGGCCGAGGATTTTCAAGGGCTCGGTCGTCGGTTCCTGCAAAGGCGTTAGTTGCGGTACACCGCGGTTGCGTGCCAAGCAGGCCTCTGGATAGGATTCGAAGTACTTTTTCTTGTAAGGGTACTCGCTTGCTGCCACTTTTTCTGTAAGGGTATTTTTTTTAGCTACTTTGTAATATAAGGGTCCTAAATATTTGTACTTTTTTCACATAAGGGTATAACTCCAGCGCAGCCTTACGCTTTACTGTAGTTACAGGATCTCGCATGATCAGACGACTGACGTGTTGTAGATACTGTATGATGTGACGACGTGCCTTGGGTGGCACTCGACAGGGTGCACCAAGATTTTTGGTTGTTAGTGCTGAAGTGGAGGGAATGTCGCACCTCGGTAATTTTGCTGTTAGTGCGTATTTCTACATTAGAGCGTTCAGTACCAGGGAAGCAAACTTCGCGAAGTACCAAATCAAACCGAACAGGAATTCGCGTTTTGACCCTCGGACCTCACTGTTTCGCGTTTCAGAGTCCATTTCGGGTTTGCTGGTACTGATTACTATCTTGTAGAAATACGACCTCATTCCCAAGACCCTTCCTGGTCTCGACCTGATTTCCCGTTAGTGCCCCACTCGGTTTTTTCTTTTCTTCTTTCTTTAATTTCTTTTAACGAATGTAGTGGCGGATACGACTCTACCAACACGAATTATATATTCAAGATGACAGGTTTTGTAACTGTGCGCATGAATTCCTGGGTGAGTGGCAGCCATAAAAAGCGTAAACCATTAGCAGAAGAAATTGACGACGTGATCCCCGTCGTGCGCGGCAGGGCCAGGTAAAACCTGTAAATTCAAGTCGCCGATATTTCGTAGGCGCGACATTCCTCGCCGAAATGGGTAGGGGGGAAAAGATGGTTTGACATATCACGTCCAGGGCTTTCTTTTCGTTTCAGGCTACCCTGTAATTTCAAGGTAGTTTCAGGGCTTTCTTTTCGTTTCAGGACTGTCTCTCTTAGTGGGGGACTTAGCCGAATCCTCTGGGTTGCAGTAGCTTTGTCTCTGCCAGTGGGGGACTTCACCAATTTTTCGGGGTCGCTCGAGGGTGTGGGAGGAATGCCTTTGGCAGTGGGGGACAGCCGAAATCTTGGGTTGCGGGGGGTATAGGAGGAATAACTCTCGGATTGGGGGGGGACTTAGCCGAAATCTACAGGTTGCCAAGGGGATCAATGATTACAGCGGGGGATCGCATGTGTGATTGTGTAAGGGTGATTTTACACAACACTTTTCCGCATCAGGGTGCTAACGCTGCACCACTTTTCAAAATCAGGGTCCGGTACAAATTTAGTTTTTTTTCATAAGGGTCCAAAACTAAACCACTTTTAAATATAAGGGTCCAACACCAACCCCAGCCTTATAGTAAGGGCCGTAAGGGTATTTTACCCTGATATCCTGAGGCCTGGTGCCAAGTCCAACGGACTCGTGACGTAGGGTCGGAGAAGACTGACGTGGAAAGCCGGATGGTGGCGCCAATCAGCCAGTAGTCAAAGGTGAACAGTGACAGGTGTCACGAGGTTGGTCACTTGAAAAGGTCCGCAGAATCTGGGTCGAAGTTTGCTCGGGATCGGCAGCCGGATTGCGGGTGTCGAGGAGGACTAGATCTCCCACTTTGTAAGTGACGTCACGGCGATGACGATCGGCTTGTCGGCTTGCAACCAGGTTGGCTTTTTCGGATGGCTTCAGCTGCTTTTTCTCAAGCGGCGAGAATTGTCACAAGACTAGCTTAGCTAGGAAGCCATAGAATGGCACAAGGTTTAGCTGGGAGCTAGGAGGAGCCATGAGAATGGCGTGAGGTTTTAGGTGCTAGAAAAGTTGAGGAGAGAAAAAGGGGTTGGGAATAGACGAGAGAGGGATACAAGGAGGGGTGTTGTACCCTCTACAGTAAAGTTCAGTAACCTACCAAGCCTAACAATTATATAACACAATATATAATTTTAACAAGAATGTCTTCAGCAAATTTCTGGGACCAGGGCACGGGTGACTCGATTGTCGGTGTAGAGGGTACGACTGGGTCCTGTCCGTAGTTGAGGAAGAATGGAGAATTGGTTGGTTGTGGCTGAGGTCGCGTTATTATACGCGAATTCGAACAGCGGAAGGGATTTCTCCATGTCGATGGGTCAGTACAGGTAGTACGAATCAGTTGCTCCATGGTCTGGTTGACGCGTTCGGTCTGCCCGTCGGTCTGTGGGTGGTAGGCGGATGAAAATTGGAGTTTGGTGCCGAATTGGTCCCATAGGTGGGCCAAAAAATTCGATGTGAATTTCGGGTCTCGATCTGAAATGATGGCGGAGGGTAGTCCGTGCAGTCGGATGACGTTCGTGGGGAACAGTTGCGCGGTTTGTTCGGCGGTGATTGTCTGTTGGCAGGTGATGAAGTGCGCCATTTTCGTGAGTCGGTCAACGACCACGAGGATGGCATCGTTTCCGCTGGGACCGCCGGTGAGTCTGTCACGTAGTCCATCGTGACTTGTTGCCAGGGTCGCTCGGGCGGATCCAACGGCTGTAGTAGTCCGGCTGCGCGCTGTATGCTGACGACGATTTTATAATCTGGCAGGCAGTGTAGGAGGACAACGTACTTGCGCACGTCGTCGGCCATCTTCGTGGTTTTTGTCGACGCCGAAATATCATGAGGTAGGGTTGTCGTGGGATTCCTGGATTAGGAGGGTACGAAGTAGATTGTAGCCTGGCACCCAAATGCGATAAGTACAGCGCTTATGAAAATATGGCCCGG